TAATAAAATAATGATGCTGAAATAAAACCTTTGTTTAATTGAACTGGAGGCTTTATAAGATGTGTGAATTCATAAGTGATCTAGTACAGACTAAATCTAAAGCTCCTCAAAATAAAAAATATACTTTTAAAATTTACTGTTTACTCCTTTATTTAACACTTCCAAGAGTGGGGGAACCTAATGATCAGATACAGCCTATTCACACTGGAGTGGACCTTCAAAGCAGACGTGTAGAAATTACATTTAAAATGTATAACACATCAACTTACTTAAGTTCAGAAACTTTTGTGACCAAAGATGACTTCTTATAAACACTTCCAAAGGAATTACTCATTGTGCATTTAATTACCAAGTTAAGTATGCGTGGGAAAACAACAGAGCATAAAACTGTCATGGCACTTCTCTATCCTGCTGCTCTGAATCAGGTCTTCAGGAAAAGAAAAGATTAGAAGGCACAGTAATTTTTTGCCATTAATTAGCTTTCAAGCTTTTAACACAGGACTGAAAGGTTTATCCATCATAACCAGTACAGTACAGTTTGTACTCAGAACTGAAGGAGCATCAGACTTTCATGTTTCCCATCATAGTTCTAATAATTACAATGTACCTGATTCTTTAGACAATATAGATTGAAAAGGAAGGGGAGTGGGAGAACAAGTTCAGTTCCAAGAAAAACTGAGTACCTTGAAGAAAAGTTTTATGAAATCTGAGGAAAATCTTGAAGGAACACAGTTATTCTGCTAACTGAACAGGTGCCAAAAGCATTACTGGATTTCTCACCTTGCATATGCAAAAATTGGTACTCTAAAATTTAATCATTTGAAATTCAGAGGCTGCAATTTTAACTGCTGGCCTAAATGCTTATGAATAATTGCATTTGAAGAGTGATTACTGCTTATTTCTTTAAATAAAGGATAGTGGTTGATTCAGCAATTAAACCTGGAACCTTTTTATTTGACTAAAAACTCATTTAGCCACCTTTTTTTTTTTTTTCCTAAACTCCAGATTTTACCCTGAAACTCAAGGATGGAGATGTCTGTTTTCTTTTACAAAGGCAGAAAGTTTCTGCAGAGAGGCTGGTCTAGTCATAGTTAGCAAAGCACTTCAGATCCTCAGTGAAAAGCCTCACTCCACAAAGCCTCAACTGCTACAAAGCCAGAATGAAGTATCTAGTTTTATAGATTTTTAATTCCCATTCAACTGTCTTGTCTTTCTCTCTTTCTCTCCCAGACAAAACCAACAAAGAAGGAGTAATAGGTGGTGTCATTGTAGGAGCCATTTTGGGATTTATATTAATTGGCCTGATTGGATATTTTATATGTGGTAAGAAAAGATCTGACTCATTTTCCCACAGACGGCTTTATGATGATACAAGGAGTGACCCAGGTAAGGAACAGCACAAGTGCTTTGCATAAGAACATTTATTTCTCCACAGGGCTGCTTAAATAGTCTGGTCTTTCTGAATTATTAGGGTATCATCAACTCCAGTCAAACTAGTTTTCAAATGACATTAATTTATTGGGTTTAAATTTTAGCTTAACCAATACTCCCCTTAACTCTATGTCTCCTCTTTACATGTAATTTTTTTAACCTCTGAAATATCAGGAAAATCATATCTAGTATCAGTGAACTCATTCAGAGGATTGTGGGCAAGTTCAAAACTATAGCTCAAAAACTCTCCCAAACTGATTAACTGAAAAAAGGCCAGACTCTCTACTCATCCAACATCAAAAACAGAATGAAGGATGAAGATATATCTGTTTCTATGAGTAAAAATATTTTTAAGAGGTTTAAAACTTAAAAAAAATTGCTTTCGTGTTCTCTGTGAGTATATATAAAGTTGTATTAACGTGTAATCCCACCCCAAATATTTGTATCATGTTCCTGGACTTAATTTTTAAATGTTTAAACAAACAGTGAGAGGCTAAACACACCTTTTTTTTTTCTCATATAAAATAAAATCTAAATAAACTCTGGCAATACATCTTTTCTGCCTTAAATGCAAGAGCTGAAAGCTGCCAGAATGTCAGATTAGGAAGTAGCTTTGAAAGTCCACCACCCATGTGGGTGCTGAATGGGTGCTGCTGGGAGTACAGGAGTTACCTGCAGAAGATCATGAATCAGGGGCCTTTATCTTTTGCTCTCCTGTATGTCAGAAAGAGGTTTAACTGTGAGGGGCTGATGAGGTGTCCAGTGTATGGGGATAAAAATCTTTCAAGCAATATATAAAAAAAAAAAAAAAATATATTATCCCTTCAGTTCTCCACTTAGACAACTCACTTGGACCATATGACACGAGTTTCGGAGGCGCATCAGACGACACAACCAGCACAGCAGGCAAGACAGAGGAAGACAGTGCAGGGCACCCATCCGATGGCATTCCCATGGCTGACATCACACCATCCCACCCTTCACCGTAATGTTTGTTTCAGATGATATTCTTGCCTGTTCTCCACAGCCTTTCATTTTTTCCCAAAACAACCTGGCAGCTGTTATCTTAGAGCCATTACCGTGCAAACAGGGCTTTGAAAACTAAGGGAAAAATCACAGGATACACTCATATGTGACAGGCAGGGTCCAGCAGCAGAGCATGAGTACTCTCCTTTGTAATTAAATGATCAACCTATGGTTTTCCTGGAAGGATATTACAGTTGTTTTCTTAGAAATAACATAGACAAACAGCATCCAGGCAAGATTCTGCCTTGTCAACAATTGTAACATAAAAAGACATTGCAACATAAAAATTTTACTAGGACTGCAATGATATTTTAATATCAATACAAAAAAAAACCCAACTCAGTTTAACTACCTTGAAGTGAAACTACTGTGTTCAAATATAACGTCTATCTGATAAATGACTCACAGCCCCACTTTACATTCGTACCTTCCTCCGGGAATGTGACAAAATTAATTAGATTTACTTGGATTACTCAGTTTTGATTACTTGAAGTTTGCTGCAGAGAATGGAACTACCAAGTAACACAAACTACATCTAACTTTTGACTAGGATGACACAGAATTAAAACCACTGTCGATGGGAAAGAAAGAAGATAAGCTTCTACTCCTCTGTCAAACTAATCTGTTGTTTGAATTGCAGGCCAGATCTGCAGAAATTATGTAAAACGTGTCACTACAGGTTACATAGAAGAAATACTAAACATGAGAGGAAAGGAATCTCTGCTGTGTATATAGATACTCTAAAAAGCATGGTCCAGTTCTGTCCAGTTAAAGCATAAAGTATGGCAGTATAATGCAAATAACTGCATAGTTTATCTCTTTGCAACTACCAGACAGGCCTAAAGAAAAAGAAAGAATATGAAAAAGACGCAGCTGCAAAGGCATAGAATAAACAAAACAAAATGCAGAGAAAACAATGCTCATGGGACATGCTTGTGTTAACTGTGCTCTGCCAAAATGCTTTATCTGGTGTGGAGACTGTGGATCGTGTCAATGGAGTTATCTCACAAACTGCCCATGAAAGCTGCAGTGAGGTTCCATTTGACATGGGAGTAAATTACATGCACACACACACACCAGAGAGAAACTGCTCAGTCACACTGAATATGGGTTAAACAGGTATTTGTTTAAAAGGTTAAAGATCTGATGTGCAGCGTTGCCATCCCAGTCGGGTTCAATCATAAAAACAGCACGCGAGCCCTCAAAGCCAGAACCTGATTTCTAACACTGCATCCAGCATGCTGGGCAGCAGACTGAAAATCTGAGACACATTCCCCTATATTACGGGAGAATATCACCCTGCTGCTTGAAATGAAGAAAAATGTAATGCTCAGCTTTCACCTTCCTTAGCACAGACCTTACCATTTTCCTGACAAAGCAGCGTCATATAAGCAAATTCCTCCTTACACTTGAACCTCGGCCTCAGCCGAGTTCTCTAAGGAGAACTTGAGGACAGAGATGAAGAGATGTTAAGAAGCTACCAGTGTTGCCTGCACTGGTAACCATAAAACTAACTGCAATGTATTTTAGGAATTTATGAAAGCAATAATTAATAATTGCAATGCCGTAATAGCAAGATTAGGAGTAAATGAAGAAATATCACTGAGGCAAACAAAGTGTGCCCTTCAATTATATCATATTAATTTTTAACCATCCAATTCTGATTTTTGCATGTGCTTCTGTTTTCTATGTAACTCTTTGATGTTTTGCTTTTGTTTGTATATTGTTTTTCGATTTTACCATAGCAGCCTTCAAAATGCATGACACTTGTTTGTCCTTCACTTAAAGTTAGAATCATTAATGCTTACTCATATATATTACATAAATAAAGTTGTTGTGTCCCATTTTATTTAAAACTTGAAAACTCTGGCTTGAATTCAGACAGCTGTATGTATGTGAACTGGTGTTATTTTTTTAGGGTTTACACTGACAAACATTTATATTGGTAAAATTAATTATCTCTTGTTCTATTCCTCTTCCCTGTTTCCCAGCATAAAAATATTATTAGCTTCAGTGAAAGCTAATTCCACCTAGCATTTCATGCCAGAACCATCAAATCTGTCTTTTATGGCACAATTACACTGACCTATTACAAGAGGTGTCCCGGGTTACAGAAAGACTCTGGTATCCACCTTTTCTTTCCTCTTTTCCCCAAATATGCCTACTAATTTAGACTGTGGGGAGGGACTTAAGATAAAGGTGGTAGTCTATTATCCTAGGAGAAGAATGTATCCACCAGTGTAAAAATAAGGGAAGGCTGACTAACCTATATGTTTGCCTCTGAAAAGACTCTGGCCTGAATAATATAAAATTCAGGCTTAAAGACACTAAAGACAGTCATTACATTAGCAATAAAAGGCATTATTTTCACCCACTATTGGCATAGAAACTGAAGTGAATGAAAACAGGAAAAAAATATGTTTGTATGGTAAAATCCTTCTTTAGACTTTATCAAGAGCTATAATCTCCCTTTATCAAGTAATGATATAAAAGAGTTGGGTAAACTAAAAAAGGAAAAAAAAATAAAGTAAAAATGCACTTACCCCAAATTGCCATGAAAATAGCAAAGAAGACAGTCCCTCCATTATCAAACAAATGTGTAACCTAAACAGAAAAACAATACATCAGGACAAATTAATATTGCCACATTCTCTTTCGCCCCCAAAATCCCAGAGTACAAAACTGGTGGCAGAAGCTGAAAGCTAAGCTTTGTAATAAGCAATCCTACTTGCACGTTTCTTCTACCAAGGTTTGTCACACTCTGTGTTTCAGTAAGGTTGAAATCTGCTGTTCCAGACTATCACTTCATGCATCATCAGATACTAGGAGCTGTTCTGTCCATGTCCAGGCAGGCTAAAATTTCATCCAGAATTCCTGTCACATGGTGGGTCAGATTTAACCTCAACCTTTTCTATTTTACGGTTTTTATGAGCTTAAATAACTCTTCGCTTTTCTTCCTCTACTTAATGTCTCCTTTGATTCCATTTTATTCTTCTCCTGAGCTGTTTTGCAATTTCTCTACAGGTAAGAATAGCATGTATTCCTTTGTATCCAGGAATTATATTCAGCCCCTCAAATTGTTGACATAATCTCGTTTTTAAAAGGCTTGTGCACTTTAACTCTAACAAACATTAAATAATTTCTAAATATCACCCTCTAGAAGCCCACATAATTCTAAACTGTGAACTTAATTTCTTCTTATGAATACTCTTCTTTTAGTTGGATTTATTCCTTATCTTACTCTTTGTCAAAAGATTTTTTTTTAAGCAGAACAGCTATTTGGCTGCAAAGTCTAAGGCTTATGGATTGAATATACATCTTGAAACAGAAAATATTTATTTATATATATTGACTTATATTTATTTATTTATACTTACTGAAAATAAGTATTGATTGAAAATCAGGTTTTGCATGCCTATGGATCATTCTAAACGTCTTGAGTGGGTGAATTTGATTCTTACAAAACTTATGAAAACACTTATGAAAACACCATAATTACAAAAATCTGCAATTTCTAGTATTCAATCCACAATATGAAACCGTTTTTAGGAAGCTGATATTAAGATCAATATACTTTCAGTAAAGTTAAAGTTGCCAATTTATAGCAATGTAATTTATCCAAGGATATTGGGCCTACACTTCTAAGGAAGGGTGGTTTAAGATGTTGATGACAATTATTAAGCAAAGCAGAGACTTCAAATTCCTATTTGAAAAAAAAAAAAAGCATAAATCATTATAAAACACTAGAGCAAACCAACTTATCATCGACAGGCCTATATTAAAAGAGGATCTGAAGAAGGAGGAAAAAGGAATGAAGAAGCTTTACAAATGGTTTTGATATCTATTGCCCTAAAACACTCTTTGAAATAAGAAGAGAATGTCTTGAAATGGAATATTATTGAAAAAAACTTTCCTTTCATTGGTGCTGGCTGTTGCTGACTTAAGAACCAATTTTTAAGCTTTTATCATGAAAATAACCCTGTCCTTATGCCAACGGAAGGGCACAGGCAACCAGACTGACTTTTGCTGTACTGTGACCTCCTCTTAAACCTGAAGTTACTCTGGCCAACAGGAATGCTGTCCAGGAGGTGTGCCAGGATGCTGGGGCTGACAGCCTGCCTCAGGCAGGTTACCCAACCTGCTCCTGTGAGATCTGCCTGCTGCAAGGAGAACTTATCCTGCAGACAGGTTTTCATTCTTCTAGAAAAGTCTGGCATTACTGCTTCTGCCTCAGAATACAAGAAAACTAATTAATGAAAGCAGAAAATGTTAATAGAAACTGTGTTTCTTGCCTCTGTTTTATTTCTTATTGAGTAAAATTAAAATGTTGTGAGAATTTATTATAAACATATATTTTATCTGTATGTCAGTTCTGGTTTTCTTTTTTTTTTTTGTTTTTGAGGTTTGGAAATGGGAATTGACCATTTGGTATTGGACACCAATAAATCCAGTATGTTCCTTGCCAGGATCATACAGTGGGATCAACTGTCAATCAAATATGTATTTTGCTTTGTTTTTCTTTTGCTTCCATAAAGGAAAACACAAACATAATGGGTATGAGACCGAACATGTGAGAAGTGAACAAAAGCAGCACAATAACTCTGATGAACATTATTGGTTTTAAGTGTAGATCTGTGTGATGATACGACTTTGGATATTCTGCTCAGTAAACAGCACATCTTTCCAAGAAAACACAAAATTAACCAACCAACCAACCAAACCTAAGCCAGCAGAATTAATGTAGCTAAGAGTAGAAAATAGATACTGGGCTCCTGATTTGGCTTTGTCTTCATAAAGAGTGTTTGGGCAAAAGTTTTTCAGGACCACACTCAAAATTAAGACTTGACAGTCTTAAAGGTTAAAGGCAGAGTCTGAGACTGTTGATCAGAAGGCCTCTAAGCAGAGGTGACATTGGAGGACTCTGTGCTGGTCTGTCAGCATACCTGATTGATGTTGTCATCATCAGACACAACCTGAGGCATTTCAAATCCACCCTGAATCAACACCCTGCCCCAAGGCCAAGGTCAAGGTGTGCTGGGTGCAGGACCCAGGCAAATCACAGATCAAAGAGTCCATCTGATGTGGATCAGAATGACAGCCTGGTCATTCAGCATTTCAGATACTACCTGCCTTTCCTTTAAACAATAAACCTCACTTCAGTGTGGCATTTTTGAATGGAAGAGGGAAGGGATGAAAGAAATGGGCAGGAACAAGAAGGAAAAAGGCCTCTTTTGTATTCTGTCTCTAGCTTTGGCCGAAAAAGCATTTGAAGTATATTATTTTTCTGGCATTAATCTGTTCAGTCCGAAGTGCTCCTCTGCAGGGAAACATGGCAGATATTTAAGAAAGAACCCCTGGCAGCAGTTTTAATAATCTGAAACATGAGCACAGGCCTTACATAAATGAGGCAGGTCCTATGACATAAGCAGGTTTGGGGAAATGAACTTTAATCACTTAAAGGAACTCACTGTTCCTAATTAACTCATAATTTATGTACTCTACAATGAGCTACTTGAATGACTAAGGATTAAAATGTTTACTCCAGAATAAGGGCACTGATGTTTGGAAGGAATCAGGAATAGCTTCCCTTGCCTATCAGCTCTTTGGTTATGTAGAAGGTAGACAGAGAAGCAAGTTATGTTCCCACAATGACATAACCAGAGGAAAACGTTGACAAGCTCCATCTCTGGAAAGAAAGAAGCAGGAAATGCCATTTTCTTTTCCCAGAGAGCAGATCCAATGACTTATTTTTAAATACATTACTTATATTACTAACAGTGCTTCAGAAAGTACAAAGGACCATTTGATTTGAAATCAGACTATAGTTTTCTGACATTACAGACTGTTTTCATTCACTAATTTGGGTGCAAACACAGTGGAAGTGGTGACACATATTTAGATATTTGCTGCTCAACCTCAGCAAGACGGTGGCAACCAGCGGGATCACAATCCCTGCTGGAAACCAGACAGTCTGTACCAAGAGGTAATGAGTGAAGGTGCTGTGAACTTTTTCTTTAGAGACACCACAGTGAATGAAGGCATTACAGTTATAACCTTTATAAAAAGCTTCACTGAGCTTTTATTTATTTTTTATTTTTTTTTGCCACTCGATTGGCCAGATGGTAATCCTATTCCTTCCCAAAGGGAGTTCTCTCTCTCCCACGCTTGGGGGAGATTCAGAACACACAAATCTTGAAAGGAGACAATTTCTGTTTGTTTTCTGGGTTCTCATCCAAGGTTGATCGGTTTTTCAGAGCAAGAGCATTGGCAGGAAAAGCTGGGAGCTTACATCAATTTCTGTAATTGCAGACATGAGAAACGAGTGCCTGTGGCTGTGGAATACGAGTGGTAACTGCTTGTCTTCCCTGGTTGCCAGCTGAATTTTTCTTCAAAAGGATTGATTTGAAAATAAATGAAGTATGGATGGACTGCCACATTTTTTCTAGGACAACGAATTATTCAGAATGTGACATTAAATGTGAAAGTAACATGATTTAAGCAGATGATGTCAGTGTAAATATAAATATGACAAAAAGCTGCTTCTTATTAACTGGAGATGTTAACATAACAGGATCTAAAGTGTATTAACTTCCTGTTAAACTGCAGTGAACTGCTGAAGAGGCACTTACCATCTTCTAAAAAAAGGATTTCTGGGATGGGTTGTATAGCTTGCATAATGCTATTTCAATTAAGAAAGCTTTTACTTTCAGTGCACATTAAAAAAAAAAAGAAATTAGTAACATAAAAGTTACAAAAAACCCTCATGGAGCCGTTTTCTGCTATATAGTTACTCTTGCCTTAAGTACAACATTTTCAGTAATATTTCAGTGATATCAGCATTATAAAATAGAAAATTAAATTTGGAAATTGTAAACATTAATAATTTTTTTTAAATACCTTTGCAGATATATTTAAAGTGTTCAGTTTTACTCAACACTGGTCCTATCTATAAAAAAATCTTGAAACCTAATACAAAATTCATTTTCCCTTTCACACTGCTGCAGTTTTGTTGTAATGCCATGGAGCAGAGACCATCACGTTTTATAAATACAGTCTTCTGAGAAAGGATTTATCTTATGGGGGAAAGAATTCCAAGAAAAATGCCAACGTTGCTTTTCCAGCATTATGAACATATCACACAGCAAAATACTTTGCTCACTTGCAAACACTGCACATATACTGAGGTCCCTGTGAGTATTTATGTCTGAAGAATAGCTTCTTGCAGCAAAATATTTAATTGTGTGAAATCTTTGCATTAGTTCGACAAAGAACATCACAGGCACATTATGCTAGAGAATTCCTTTAGGAGAAGCAAAAATTCAATTACAAAGTAAGCAAGGGAAAGAAGTTAGCTACAGGGGAAAGCAGGAAAAATCACACAAAAAAAATTTATTACGGGGGACTTAAGATGATGAAAATAATAATTTATTAATAAGGAAATGCTCACAGAATTTTAGAATAATCTGTGGTCATTTCAGGTTATTTTCTTATTGGAAAGATGAATTAGAAAGGTTGAAAAAAATCTCTGTAGAGAAACAACACATTTTTCAGGAATCTTTGATGAAACAAGGGCAGCCATTACACATCACACAATGAAAGGGGGTCTTCAGACAAAAATTATCTTGATAGCAATAATATAATAATTACCTTGGCATAGATGCAGCTTTCATTGAGTTTTTGTAGTGTGCAATTGCGTTCACACATAGGGCACATGATGGTTTCATTTGCCTCGCAGATCTCTTTGCTTTAGTATGAGACAGGAAAATAAAGATTATAAAAAGACTTGTAGCATTCTCAAAATTTTCTGAGGTTATGCCGTTTGTGCTCCCTGTTTGTTGAGAGTGCCTACGCCACAAAACTAGACCAATAAAATAAACCAAAAGTGAATGTTTGGCTTTAGAAGCCTAATCCCAAAACAGGAACCTGAAAACTATGGGTCCTAGGGTGGTATGCAGTATTTTCAGGCATCATGTTACACTTCTCACACGAGTGAATTCTCTCCCAAATATCACAAACAGAAGAACGAAAAATTGCTCCCTACCTTCCAAGCCATTTGCTGCCTATTTTTCTAAGTGATGTAGAAGATACTAAACATTGAGAGGATGAACATCACTGGTATAACTACATTGATTTCAACCAAATTATCCCAGTCATATCAGCTGAAGGTCTGTTCCACAGGGTGATGATATACACACTTAGATCAGTCAGTCACATGTAAAAACCCACTGACAGGATTTCTGGCAGTAGTATTTCAAGTATTTGCATTTTTATTTTCTACAAAAGAACTTATGCATAGGACTAATAAAAAAACCCCCACTTTAATATCCTATTTTGGGGATCACTATCTTCAAGCCACATTCTGATGTTTAAGAATCCTAACACTTAGGAAGATGAAGTCACTATCTTCACTAAGACCATTCATATTCAAAGCACAGTACATAACTAATTTTCTTGACAAAGGCATAATAGAACTAACAGAAGTGCAAAAATGAATTTTAAAGGAAATTTTAACTGCAGTGAGTAAGCTTCCCAAATAATCACAGAATCATAGAATCGACCAGGTTGGAAAAGACCTCCGAGATCATCAAGTCCAACCCTTGATCCAACCCCACCGTGGTTCCCAGACCACGGCACTGATGCCACATCCAGTCTCATCTTAAAAACCTCCAGGGAAACCTCCACTTCCCCGGGCAGCCCATTCCAGTATCTGATCACTCTCTCTGTAAAAAATTTCTTCCTAATATCCAACCTAAACCTCCCCTGGCACAGCTTCAGACCCAGCCCTCTTGTCTTACTGCTGGTGCCTGGGAGAGGAGACCAACCCCCCCTGGCTCCCCCCTCCTGTCAGGGAGTTGCAGAGAGTGAGGAGGTCTCCCCTGAGCCTCCTCTTCTCCAGGCTGAACAGCCCCAGCTCCCTCAGCCTCTCCTCACAGCACTTGTGCTCCAGTCCCTTCCCCAGCCTTGTTGCCCTTCTCTGGACCTGCTCCATCACCTCAATATCCTTCCTGAGCTGAGGGCCCAGAGAATCTCAGCTATTGCCTTTCCCAGCAATGATGACATGCCTGAACTGATCCTATGACGCACCAGGGCAGTAGCAGTACAAAATCCCTACTAATTTGTTTTAATAAACCTTGCACTTTCACTCTCCTTCTTCTGAAAGCTGAATTTACACTTTTAACACTGTTTGGGAGATTATGCTTATTTCCAAATGAGTGGTTCTATTAAATACTGACACAACAGTAAATATAGAGAAAAGATTAAATATAAATCGCAATCTTTGGTCATATTTCACATAACATAACAATCACTAATTCACTGAAACCCTAAAAATAATGCGGACCTGACAAAGAAATCATCCTGGATAGCTCTTAAACCAGAATGAGCAAAGCCAGTCATTTCAGAGTTACAGAGTAACAGAAATTTTAGTGTGTGTCACATCGGTGAATTTTCTTGCTTACATTTTAAATCAAATTATTAAGCACAGAAAAATCACATTTTAATCACATGCTATAATGGTTTGGCAATAATGCAAACTGTTGTCAGATATGAGGCCAAAATGTACTGTACTTTGAATTTAAATTCAGATGAAAAATGTTACATTTGCTGTATTATATATCTTGAGTTAAAATGTTATTTGGTTTTAATAACACAAGAAGTTTCACAAAATTATACTGACAGTGATAGGTCATATGCTCTCATACTACTCTGCAAAGGCAATAATATTTGTTTTGCAAGTGTTTGTGACAGGTGCTATGTTAACTGTTATTCAATTGCAACTCAAAATCTTCAGTATAACAGAGCAAAATAAGCTGCTTTGTACTGTTCTCACCTATATATCTGAAATCTGACTGCAGCACATGGAGCAAAGACAGCTCAAGCTATGCTGTGTTCATGCCTGGCGTTTCTGTTTGACTGACAATAAAGGGACAATTTACAACAGTGAAAATTAATATCTATAAACACATCAAAACCAAACTCTTTAAAGCCATCAGAGTTATTTTTATATGGACTAATCGACTTGACGTGCAACTTGGAATAAAGACAGGTAATAGATATGGTACATAATTTGTTGAGAGAACCCAAATGAAGGGAGTGCTATAGGGCTATTTAAGCCCTTCCATTTGACTACCACTTTGCATTCCCTCCAATTCAGCTCAGGGAGGACACTTGGATCAAAATCTATTTAAAAGGGTATGAAACAACAAATACAAGTTCATGTTCTGCATTTTTGGTTCTGCATGTCTGAGTCCTATGAACACAATCCAAATATCCTGGAAGCTACTATGGAGTTTCTTCAACAGAGATTCTCTGGATATTTCTCTTGGTTACCTTCTTCTCATGATGGTATCCTGCAATGAGCTGCCAACAATGTATTCTCAGTACCCTAGAGGACTTCAGTGCTGGCTTATGGCAACCACAGTATTACTAAGCTTGATTTAAAATTCATGCAAGACAAAGAACATTTCAGTAACACTGCGCAAACAAACTAGATCTTAGGTGTGACAATATTCTGCATCATCCTCGAATTATTGATCCACAAAACTTATGGCTGGCATGCCAAGCTATTTTCAGTTCTGTGGCAATACATACTTGTCTATTTGCTTATCCCTTCTCTGCTGAAACTGTGCTGGATGTTTGGAAAAAGAAGAAACGATTGTTTCCTGCCACTAGAAGGGGGGTTGGTGGCAGCTCCCTGCACCTGAGCAGTGAAGGAACATCACTGAGGAAATCATCCTTCTGCAAAAATGATTTGATCAGTTGCTAAATTCAGAGTTTTTTGGTACACAAGACAAATAAACTGGGGTTTTTGACAGAATTTATCATACTCTAAATCACCGCTTCCTAATGTCCACAGATTCCACATAACTGGTGTAATAAACCTGTTTCACACGAAATAGTGTTCACCAAATAATACTGAATTTGGGGCAATGTGCCAGTTCTGACATTGCCATAATGCCCTAGCACTACTTTTAAATTCTTAATTGCCACTGGGTTTCCTGTGCCTGGATTTTTCAGAATATTGTACCCAACTCTGTTTCTTCCTGATCACTGCTGAACACTGCACTTGCACACTGCAGTAGCTGCAGTGCTTAAAATCAAGTGATAGATTTTAAAACTCTTACAGTTGCTTAGCTAGAAGTTTTCTTTAAATGACTGCAGAAACACTAGACAAATAATCTCACAGTCCCAGACTCTGGCAAGAATAAGAAGAGGTGTGCAGTCTGTCTCTGCATGTCTCCTGTCTGCTCTAGGTAGGAGGTTTCTCTCTAATCCTCACTAACACCTTCCAGGCTAAGTAAACAAATATGGCAAGGAGTAGCATCTGTTATCAGTGGCCTTTTGAATTGCCTAAGCACACAAGGTGGTACAGAAAACATCTACACACATTTTATCAGACCAGGCATAATCAGCTTGAGTTAGTTAAAATCTGTTCCTGAATCCACATTTCACAGCTGTTCTTACTAACCTGCTCAGAGCAATGCCCTGATGTGACAGCATTGTGTCCCAACTAAACAACTGCACAGATTCACATGATCAAATGCAGATAGGACCTTCTGCCCAGAATTAACACATCCAGATTACAGGTGTGGGGCTGACACAGAGCACACAGGCAGGCCTTCTGCAAAAACCCACCCTCCGACAGTATTTTGAAATGAATTCTGGCTAATGATAGCTGTAACAAATATATACTCACCTCTCCTTGTAGGTATTTAGGGTTTATATGGTGGATTACCTGACTTTCAGTCTCTTGATTCTGGAATAGAGCCTGGAGACCCTGATGGGCTCCCTGACACTCTATATAGCACAGCATGACACTGAGGTAGCTCAGGATGGGACCCAATACAACCAGCCCCCACGGGGCCAAACTCGGGTCTGTGTGTTCTGTCTGCAGCTACTCAGCAGCAGCAAAGGGAAAAAATTGAGGGCAGGAAACCTTGGAAGACAGCCTATCTCTGTGCTCACGGGATTTATATCCTGCAACCTTCAGCAATGAAGACAACTGCATCTCTCTGTTAAAAGAACTTAACAGGAGTTGCATGTTCACGTGTTCTTGGGAGAAGTGTATGACAAACAGGAGGTGACTGTCCTGCTCTGCTCTGTGCTGGTGCATCCTCACCTTGAGTACAGTGTGCAGTTTTGGGTGCCACAATATAAGAAAGATAAAAAGCTATTAGAGAGAGTCTAAAGGAGTGCTACAAAGATGGTGAAGGGCCTAGAGGGGAAGCCATAAGTGGCTGGGGTTACTTGGTTTGTTCAGCCTGGAGAAGAGGAGACTGAGGGGAGACCTCATAGCAGTCTACAGCTCCCTCTTCTCTCTGATGACCAGTGACAGGACCAGAGGCAATGGCCTGAAGTTGTGTCAGGGGAGGTTTAGGTTGGATATTAGAAAAAGGCTCCTCAATCAGAGGGTGGTTGGGCTCTGGAACAGGCTCCCCCAGGGAAGTGGTCACAGCACCAAGCCTAACAGAGTTCAAGAAGCATTTGGACAATGCTCTCAGGCACGTGGTGTAATACCTGGGCCAGGAGCTGGACTTTGATGATCCTTGTGGGTCCCTTCCAATTCAGGATATTCTAAGATTCTATGATATGCAAGCATACAATAGCTTACAGTTTGAAAGAATGAAGTTATTAGAAATTTTGTTCTTTTTCTTGGGGAGTTGTCAATGCCACACCTTTCTCTTCCCCAAAGAGTGCCTGAAATACTAAGCTATACCTTGATAATAGAAGATTATGGCCCCTTGTTCCCCCTTTATTGAAACTGCCACTGTACATGCAACAAATACAAGATTTTCAGTTCAACAGCTCTAGTCCCTGTGCTCTAAGAACAGGCTGATCCTTGACTTCATATCCATTGTATTTTGCAGACATTTATGGTGATAAACAATCCTAATACAGAGAACAATATCTTAAAGATAGTGTAGTCTCCTGTCTGATACATTTATTGCATTTAACTGCATTTAATGCGGTTTGAATTTGTACAGTTTCTCATGAGTTTGCTGTAAAAAGCAAGACTAAAAAAAAGGCATGCATTGCAACACTATAGAATATAACTCACTGTGAAAGTGAAATACAAGTTGAAGAAAATTCCATAAAGAAAACTTAATATAGCCTTGCTCAAAGCCCAAGAAACAACACTTTCTGTGAAATCTGACTCCAAGTATACTTACAGCCTAAGCTCCCAAACTGCTTGGAGGAGCAGTTGCAGTTGTAAGAGGACTGACAGTGATGTGTCTGATAACATCTAATGGAAAACTTTGTAATGAGGGTGCATCCTCTGAAACAGTCCCTAAAAGTACAGTCAGCCCTTAACTTAAGCACGCTCATCACAGCTTCTAAATTGATGTAAACCCTTCTCAGAGCAAAATCACAACAGTGGGAAACTTGAAAACTTGGCCCATTTCATGTGGTTGTAACCTTCCTCAAGCTGAGTCTCCTGGCTTCAAGTTACATTGACAAAGATAAGAATTTTGTTAAGATTCCAAGTTTGCCACTCTTAATGCAGGGAGACAAAAAAAAGGCATAGGCAAAAGGAACTTGAAGTTTAGCAACTGTACTACAGCCTGAAGTTATAGGTAAGATGGAGGTAAACAGGGAATATGTCTTGGTTTTCACCCTTCAATTAGATCAACAACTATTGCAGTATCTATAACAGCAGAACTGGTCCTTAAAGACAAGTTGGTCTGTTTTTCCTTACAGACAGAAGGATTCACTGTGGATGCAGTAGTAAGAACAGCTGCTGTCAATGGTATGCATCCAGCTTGATGCAAAACAGATATGCAAAGTGTATATACACTTGACTCAAGTGCATAATATTCTATTTGGTTATTTTTACGTGATTACCATATCTGGAAAACATTTAAAAGTATAACAATCTCGCTTGTGCCACACTGTTCTTAATTTTCAACAGGCTAATACATGTTATTAAATAGGATTTTACCTTACTTGGCTGGAATCCATTGTAAATAATCCATAGAGGAAAACAAAGAGCCCAACCAGAGCAGCAGGAATAAGCATTCCAGTATACCATCCCAGCCAGGCAAAATACAGGCCAATTTTTTCACCAAAATATCGCCTACATGAAAAGGAAACATATACATTGTTTAAAGTGAAAACTTATCGTGACTTCTATCTATTATCACAGTAGCAGAATAATTCTAACAAGGAACTACCACCACAAGTTCATGGCAAAATTGTCAGATTACCAAAAGGTGGCCTTCTTTTATCAGGCTATAATAACATTCTAGTGACATCAATTGCAGACTTATGAGGACATACAAGGATATAACTGAAGTGCCTCAGTAATTTGCATGTCCTTGCAATTGCTAAGTAGAGGTACTAGTATCAACTTTTAATTAAGAGTGAGAGAAGAGAGGGGGAGAGAGAGAGAGAGAGAGAGAGAGAGAAAGAAAGAAAGAAAGAGAGAGAGAGAGATGTACACAGACACAAGAAGTTCTGGAAAGGAATAAAGTAAGTTGGTGTGACCTTATAAAAGGCATTTATGATAGATAATCATGTAATATGACATATTTCAAAATATTATTAGTGAGGACAATGGTCTGAAAACACAAGCTGAAGACTGAGCCTTAATTCTTCAAAACTTGAGTCTCAGTTGCTAGAACAGATGAAGTAGCAGTGATCAGAAAGTCAATCAAGGATGATACAGCACAGAATTGTCCCATGGCACATGCTTAGCTCCATGGATGACTTGTTAGAACTGTCAGATCAGGAATAAAAACTGACAGCAGAGAAAATGAGTTATTAGTATTCAATGTCAGAGGAGGAAAGCATGAAACTCAAGTATCACCATTATAACACTTCAATTATACATATTTCTCTGCTTTACATTTGGTAACCTATTACATTAATTCAAAGACATATAAACAGGAGTTTATTTAAGCCCATATGGAAAGGTTACAACTGAGTCGTATTTTAAGTTCACTGCATCTGGTAACATGGACTGTACACGTGGATAAGAGTCTGCTCTCAGAGGTGCTCTCATGACAGGCAAGTGTCTCTGATCAGCAGACCACACCCCAGGTTTGTATTTTAAGCTTCACACTGCAAACGCTGGAGCAGTTGGAACTCCGTGTCTTCTATGCAGACTCATTTGAAACAAACAGCCCTACACAAAAGACCACCCAGAAGAAGCAATTTAGAGAATCCCAGCCTCATCTGATAAGATCGAAATGTTACAGGAAAGCACCAGGAATTTAGGAGTATAGTTAGCACACTGTTGCCAGGCTGTTTGTAACACAGAAACTCTTCAAAGTACTAATACCTGATTAAATCAAGAGGTTGGTATTTGTACCACATTCCCCACCGTGCCCAACGTTCATACAAGAGGTGTCTGTGATTCTGGGCCCCGTGTGTTTTGATGGGATGTCTGCTTTTGTGGCTTCCCTGAAAAAACCACAAAGAAATATAAGTACATTACTAGGCGCTATGGAAAAAATATATAAGTTTCTTAGGTATTTTTGAATATAATTTTAATAGAAATATTCCTTAATGCATAAATCTCTTATTCTGGACACTTCTGAGACATGTCACCTGGAGCTAATATAAGCCTGACAGAAGAGACAGGGTTACATATGCTTCTGAAATGGCCAGTTTCTCTAATAATTAATGACAGAAACATATTAATACAAGACTATAAAGAAGTACTCAACTCTTTATATGACTTCAAGTACATTGCTTCTATTTCACTATTATATGCCTATTTGTATGCTTTCACCTATTTCAATTTTTGAAAAATTTTCAAGAGATGTTTGTGGTGTCTTTTTTTGTCTCTTCTACAAAATTTTAGACACTTCTGGTACGTCAGCTCAGTTCTCTTCTCCTAGACATTTTCTATGACTTTAACTCACTACTGTTTGAAAGTATATAAAAAATTTAGTCTTTGTGCGGTACACATTTTCTAAGATGATGCAAACAACAGGACTGGCAACATTTTGAAGCTACACAGGACTCTTGAGGCATTAAAAGCAGAACACAGAGTCAGTCTGAACCAAAAGGAGTCCTTCCCAGGCCATGTCTGACATTTACAGACCACGTGACAGACTAAAATAATAGCCTCATGCTTGGCAGTCAAAAGGTAACACACAGATTTGCTAGAACAATGCTGAGCAGAATCTCTTGTATTTGTAATTTTGCTCCAGTGTTGAAGCAGGATATTTCCCTTAGTTGAACTTTTTCCCCCCAAAAAACCCCCACCACTTGGCTATGGTAAAGAAAATATTCGATCAATTAACTGGAAGTGAGCCAAGTCATTTGTTGTGAGGAAGCTCCCCAGAGCAGTAGTTTAGAGTTAGTGATCAGACAGATTCTTGACCCTGGTAGATCCATCTAATTTAGCCATTTAGAATTTTATCATTTATTTGAAATCTTGAGCATTCCCCACGATTCAAAGAACGCCATTTACTCGTTGCAACCTGCTCATCCTCTGGCTTAAGAATTAGTTAAAAACAAAGGTAAACATAGCAAAGAGTCCAAGTTCACTCCTTTCTCCTTACAGTCAGTAAAACAGCATACCAAAGATGTCAGCTCTGAGTGTGACCTTTGCAACATCTAGGAGCACCTAGGAACAGAGCATTAACTTATTCTCACAGTCAGCTGAATGACTGCAATGCATATACAGCATTACTCAGTGCTGCATGTTTTAAAATATTTTTTTCCCTGCTTCTTTCTGCCCTGTTTATCCATAATAGAGTTCAAGTCTCAGCATTCCCACTGGGATTGAATTTTCACTCTTATTTGCAGCAAAGAAAGAAAATTTAAAAATAAAAATAAAAAAAAAGAACGTTTAACCACTAGTCCCTAGCATCAAGTCAGGCAGCAATTAAGATAAAAGTAGCTTAAAAATATGACTTCATTAACCTTAACTGAAATGTGGAAACAGTAGCTTATGCTAAAAAAGAGGAACATATAAAATGGATATGACAGCATAGCTTTGATGCCAGAGAAAGCTTCCCAGGCTTTTCTGGTAGTAGAGCCAGCTTCTCCCTGAAGTCAGTAGCACACAGCTGAAGCGTTAACAATGATGTTAAATTATTTATCTAAAATACTCCTCCTCTATATTCCCAGTATTTAATTATTAATAGCATATTAAAAAAATTACTCTCAGCCATTTGCAACACCCAGTCCTTCAAAACATGAGACCAAGTCACGATATTGAGCCCAAACAACCACAGAGTTCAGAGCTGCAATTACCACACCCCTGAGAGCATTTCAAATGACTGAAGATGTGTGGCTTTCTTTTCAATACCAAAAGATTGTCTGAAAACCCTCGTAAGTCAAACACGAGTTGGTTTTTTTTTTTTACTTCACAGGTTTACAGTCTTCAGTAGACTTTAACCTACTGAAAAAGATATTGTCAAGTAGAAATTATCCAGAACTGTTTGGGAAAGACTAAATGGGAAATAATTAAGTGGTCTCCCTAACTGTGATCAAATGCCCAAGCTATTAGAAAAACAAAACATTTTGTAGGTGGTAAACAAAAACAATTTAATATAAGTGGCTGGAAAAATTTGGAACAACTGATACTCTCACTAAGAACTCCACAGGCATTGTCCAGTTCATAAAAATCAGATAGAAATTATAATATCCCAGTTCAGCAAGAAACTGCTCCAGGATGTTATTATAATGCACAATGTAAGAAAAAATTTAAAAGTCAATATTAAAGTAAGAGCTACAAATGAAAAAAGTATCAACAGACTACACAGCAAAATTAAAAATTTGCAGGACAAAATTAAAGTAGGATCCCAAACCATTAGGGCAAGCTTTAATCTAAATGTAGAAATAAAAATCAAATTAACCAGGTTACCTCATGTGGTGGAAATGCTGCTTCATATGTTCCGTTATTTAGTAACCTATTAATACCTTAAAAAAAGAAAAAGCATTAGTTCTGACATCAATATTTCATACACATTTTTCAAGTAGTGTGAACTTTCAAGTCATATTGAGAACACAAATTAATATTAGATGATCAGGATGCTGCTAAAGATGACAATAATCAATAATCCCACCAATTATTCGAGCAGGTCTTGTTGATCCTTTCAGATTTCTGGCTCTGTCAAACTACAGCAACTTGCTGAGGGGCCAAAGCCTGCAACTTTTCTCTCAGCGTTGGGTGCTTGTGTCAGATGGAGTGTGAGAAGAGAGTTACATTCCTGCTGTACCCAGCAGAGCACACGACACAGGTTTGATGGGTAACCAGGTGATCTGACACACTCAGAGGGTGGTATGGACACACAACACCCTCGAGGCAGTGAAACCCCAGCAGGGTTAAAAGCTAACCTGGCATTTTTAAATTTAAGCCAGCTGAACTTCGTATCAGAGCAGCGTTCTGCACCACACTGACTGCTGCATGTTGGTTCAGTTGCTAGAGTCTTTCTAAATCCAGATTTCTTATACTATCACAGCACATTATAAAAAATAAAAAAATAAATAACCATTGATAGTTACAATAAAAAGACTCAGTTGCCTGTAAGAGCAGACCTGTAGCCCAAAAGTTTCCCCAAGAAATAAGTACATGTGATGAAATTCAGATTTGACTGTTCAAATATACAAATTATGCTAAATTAATCTCATAATGAAATTTGCCATCATCAACTGCAAAGGTGTTAGATTTGAATCCTTGTTATCTATGTTTTTCTTACTACTGCTTTTATTCAGAAACTCAGGGAACAACCTTCTGTAATTTGTTTAATTTTCATAAGTGTAAGGTTTTATTATGCCATTACATATTTAATTCTTAATTTAATTCCTGCAGAAAAAACAGGAAATCATGCATACATCCCTCCCTTGGTCATTTCAAATGAAAATTAATAGGCAGATCTTCCAAAAACTAATACTATATTAGGAGTGTTGATGTAAACCTAATTTAGTCTTCAGATCAACTGCCTCTGATTTGCACACAGACCTCAAATAAGTCAAGTGTAGCTCACATCGATTCTGCTGGACTGGAACTGCTGGATAGCAACAGAAATATTAGGATCAGTCCTTGAAAACCCTGTCAGTTTTCTGAGGTATATGTTACCTTTATTGTGGCTCTTGATCAGTAAAATTATAATAACCTCTCCACTATATTTTAAGGAATGAGTAATTAGGTGAAAAATATTGCCAATTTTCACTGAGTTATTCAGGAAGATAATGATGGGACACTGCTGCAACTCTGATCCTGAGTGAACAAAAAGATTTCAAGGAAAGAAAAAATTAAATTATTTTACTCAAATGGTATTTTTTCAGGCGAGTAAAGATATAAAATTTTATAGCTTCAAGTTAGGAAAAATAATACAGCATTCTCACCCATTTTGGATTTTCCATCTTCATACTTAGTTCTCTGTAGCACGTGATGCACGATTCTACTTCTTGTGGAATTGCTGAAGAAGCTATCTTTGTTGTTTATTGTGAAACTATTAAAATAATTAATGTTTTTTAATATTCAAAACAATGCACATGTGTTGAAACATAGCTGCTCAAGTGTTTCCTTCTTACAGTGATTTGGATCTTTACTTTCCTTGGTTACTGAATAAGACATAAGATCTTACGTCCCTAGAGCAGGTCCAGTAAAGTTATCCTCATCACAGATAATTTTCGGGAAAACAGAACAACTAAAAGTAAATTCTAAAATATCCTACTGTCTAGGTAATTTCTGTTCTGGATATAGTTAATTAAAGATCTTCAGTAGCAGTGGTGGCCTTAAATTCAAATTACTTACGAGGTGACAGATGTCTATGGCATGGAACCACCAAAACTACTAATTAAAAAAAAAATAAAAAATAAAAAATCCATGCACTGGAAATTTGAGTAGCATCTCCAGAACCATTTGCCCTTAGAGTATCCTAGGATGGAGCCAAATAAAGCATCCTTGCACAGATGGCTCCATTCTGGATGCCAGAAATCCGACATGCAGGAGCTTTCGCCTGCTCAGCTGTGCCAAAAGTGATACTATTAACAGTTGATTACATCAGCTAAGCTGGTTGAGAAAAAAAACACTAAAACCAGGGGCTTGACCCACTGAATATAGGCAATTACTGAAAAAAAAAAAAAAAGAGAGACTATCATGCAATTACTCTGTCTTTCAGGGGTAAAGTCAGTCCACTAGAATATAACTTCTTTACTGAAGAAATCTTGTTTAGCCTAATTCATATTTCTACTTTAAATTAAATTTTCTCTCCTAAAACAACTGTCACAAAATAAGGACAGTCAGAAAAAAAACTAAGGAACAGTCAGAATTTTAAATTCTAATTTTTTGGGTACTGAAAAGATTTATGGCACAGTTTAACTACATCACTGTCAACGTGTTGATTTGACCACATATAGTTGATATTTGGTGTACATCTATTTGTACTTTCAGAGGCAAGAGACCTTTTAAAATGCAGATCTGATAAGACAGAAAAAAAAAAAATCATCCCTGGTTTTAGCTTAAAAAAAAAAAATCATCCCTGGTTTTAGCTCATCCCTGGTTTTAGCTTAAAAAAAAAAATCATCCCTGGTTTTAGCTTAAAAAAAAAAATCATCCCTGGTTTTAGCTTAAAAAAAAAAATCATCCCTGGTTTTAGCTTAAAAAAAAAAAATCATCCCTGGTTTTAGCTTAAAAAAAAATCATCCCTGGTTTTAGCTTAAAAAAAAAAATCATCCCTGGTTTTAGCTTAAAAAAAAAAAATCATCCCTGGTTTTAGCTTAAAAAAAAATCATCCCTGGTTTTAGCTTGCCTCCAGGTGTTCCCAATATCAACAGCTGTATCAGGTTTTGCCTGAGTTAAATATGTAATTAAGCAAAGCCAACTTGAGCAAGTATTTGCATCTTGTAATGCAATGGAAAGAAAAACCGAAAAACTTCTAAACCAAAGAGGCAGCGATAATTTTTCAGCCAAATTTCTGCCTATCCAATAACAGTGACTATCCAATAACAGGTAAGACAGAGCAGATTTTTGGCTCTAAGAGAAAACACATAAAACTCCCAAATACAATACTTGGGCATTTGCCAGTGCCCATCTGTTAGCAGCTACCTCTCTGGCAGAAATGAGAAAAGAGAAAACCCTTGAGGTCTCTGGCGCTGCCTTTCCAGCTCCAGCACTTACTGGTGGATGCGTGCACGGCTGAAGGGTGCTGTGTAGCAATCTGTCTCCTCCAGATCAGGCAGGGCCTCCTTATCAAGCTTCATTGGGTTTCTGGGCAACCAACTTTTCAGCTCCCTCATATTCCTCTGCAAACTGAGACAGCGAGAAATCAGATTTACACACTCTCACCTCCTCGGCATTTCCATCTCCAGCACCGTATATTTAGTGACATCGTACCAGAAATGAAATGAAATCAGGAAATTTCCACATTAGGCAACTAAAAGAGAAGGAGCTAAGGAGTTAAAAAGCAAAATGAAAAATATTTATTTGCAATCCGTCTTGCACACTTTACTTGAGCACAACTCGTCCTAAAATTAGTGGGATGTGGTTTGAGATGTGACTGCAGTACTGAAAAAATTGGAAAAAATAATTTTCCAAAGTAGTTCACCTGGCAGAACAGTGGATGCTTATGCTTTACTCAAGAACATATCTAATTACTTTCTCAAGTGGAACTCCTCCCCACTCTCTTGCCTGGCAAGACTCACAGTAAAATTCATAAATGTAAAAGTAAATATGAGAGTGCTAAGGATCAGATTATGGTTTGCTGACTGCAGAAAGCTTTTCCCTGCAAAATTTTCCTAAAAATCTAAGAACTGACATTGCCTTATGAAACAGCACACCTAATTATCAAATCATGTTACACTGAAATGGTTATGCAGTATTTAGGAAAAAAAAAAAACAAACCCAGATACGGCTTCCTCCAGATTCCTAAAAATTAACACTACAAAAGACAAACAGAACATCAGTGTTGTATCCTCAATTAGATTATATACTGGCAACATAAGTGTTTTGGGGTTTTTTTTTCTACTGGCAACTAGCCTAAATAGTGTCTCAGGACATTGTTTATTCAGGGTAAATATAGTGAAGAGCACTAAATTTTCAAGCAAACGCTCCAAGTTACTTATCACTTCAGTTTTGCATTCCTTGCTGACCTAACTTTTTTTCACACTCAACTGCAATGCAACATGGATATTTAAGGAGTAGATCTCATACTAAACAAGTGCTATATTGTGACACTATAAGCATATCAGAGATTCTGAAAAAGTCTAAATTTTAGAAAAACATTCCCTAAACAGTATTTTTCTCAGTAGGATCTGGGCCCTACTCAGTGAACATGTATGCATGATAGATAAAGCACATATATCTCATATCCACAAAAAGTGTAACACTTAGTAACAATTTTTTCCTCCGAGGTGAATACTTCCTTGGCTGTGCTAAGCAGAAGCATAGCTACCCATTTCATAATGTCCATAATAAAAAGTTATATTTCATGATGTTCATAATATTTCATAACGTTCATGAACATTATTTCATAATGTTCATAATAAAGAGTAATAAGTGATGATACAGTAAATTGCTCTCAGGCAAGTGACCCAGGTGAAGATGTACCTCTTATTATCAACATCAGCAAAAATGTTCTGCCCCTATTTGACACAGTGTCAGACAGAAATCTCAGCCAAATGTGGGAGCAGGATTTTACAGTTACATTTAAAATTCTCAACATTTTCTTCTCACTATATATTGCAAGGTATTGATTCACACTCTGTATGTAACTGTACCTTGAGAGCCACCCCTTGTGTTTGACTCTAACCATTATGAGCCAAAGAAAATAATATGTTCATGAAGTTGAAACACAGAATACAGTTCCCAGGCAGGTGCATCCCATAACAGTCTCCTTAATAACACCTTAGTGCATGAGTTGATTATCTTTATTAGTTCCAGTGCACGTTCTCTCAGTACACAGTGTCCATAACTACAGTTTCCCTTTATTTTCTTCATCTTTTTTTTTGTCATACACATGCTGATTTTTTTAGTCAAAATCCAGACTTTTCTTTAATGAGAAAAATATGCAGATGCATCAGGAAAAAGAGAAAAACAGTGCATCTGATTTCAGACTCTTTTATCATGAAATTATTTTAAAATTGGTTATGTGAAAAGTCTTGATCATTTCTTTCATACAAAAATCTAAAAAAAAAATAGTAGATGAAAAATAAAGAAATTAACTCGTTTAAAATTCATGTCTGCCCTTTTCAACATGAAAGACAGCATTGGAACAAATTAATACTTATGTCTCCACTACATTTGCAGTTTCTCTTCTGAGATAAAAAGGTTTTTTATCTAAGGTGTTACTGCCTTTTCATTACATCACTTATGGTTGATCATTTCAAAATTTAGTGACTTCACATAGCATAACAACTGAAAAGAACATCACCCCCATGTGTAAAAATAATCCAACAAGACACTTCTCCTGACTTATGTTATTTTACTGTAGAAGAAGAACTGAATTTTCCTGGTGCCTTCATTTAAAGACAAATTTTTACCTAAATCATAGGACTAAGTATTAGCATTTCTACTCACAGAGTGGCTCTTTCTAGGTCCGAAGTAGCAGTTTAGACAGATTCCTGATTTAATCTATTCAATGTCATCTATTTAGTGAGAGTAAAAGCAGACAGAGCTGCTCTGGGGAAGTCAGTAGTTCAGGCAGTGAGACCAGAAGTGTCCCAGCAAAAGCACAAGCCATGAGCTGCTGCTTCGGGTGTGCTCTTACTGCCACCACTCCAGCTGGTGCTCCTGGAACGCTGTGCACCTCGGACCAAGGTATTCTGACACACCTGTGCATTTCATTCTTAGCTATAAAATTTAAATATTTTAGGAAGGTGCTTGCAATGTCAGTTTTGCCCAAATTCCAACCTCGGCGGTACCGTTCTGATTCATTTGGTTGGTTAATCTTTTTTTTTTTACAGAATTAGTCCATCCAAAAATCCTGGCGGGTTACATTTATTCCACACAACTGCAATAGAAAGGAACACTGTATAGGTGAGTTTAGCATTATTTGATCAAACTCATGGAATGAGATACCAGAATTAAGCAACTCCACCGGTCTTGTTAGGTAGTTTTGACAGAAATCACCACCCCGTAGTTTGCTCAGTGTTTGTGCTTCTCAAGACTGGCCAGAAATGTCACCCATGTGCCACCAAGTTACATGGGCACGGTGCTTTTCCAGGTTTTGTAACGGGAAGCATGTAATGGTTGACAGATTCAACACATGGACACAATGATCATCAAAAAAAAGGAAAAAAAAAAGATACTACACATTTGTTCCATGGAATAACATCAGCAATTTCACTTCAGTGTGCAGACTGAAATCCGTAAGATTTCACAAGTCCTTCTGCAAAGCAAACTTGCTGCAGGTCAGCTGCTAAACAGTAATTTTCGGTTCTCTGTCCTCAGAAGTATTAAGTGATTTCAACATTTCAGTGGGCAGAGGGAATCTGCACTATCAGACAACTATCTTTTCATTTTCTTTTCCTTGATGTCATTCTTTACCACCATGAAATCAGCATGTCCAGTACAGCAGATTCAAGACTGATTTATTAGATTATTTAGTCTTAAATCTGAGAGTTCAGACAATTTTTGATACCCACACTATTTACTGGCATATTCCTTTCCTTTGAGAAGATTTTTTGAAGGCTTTTCAAATACTGCTCCTAATAAATACGAGAGAACTATTTCTATAGTGTGATCCTACGAACAGAAATCACATTTCATAGGATTAAGTACAATGTTAAGGACTTTTCTAAAGGTATATAAATAAAGAGAGATACCACATAGATACCACATAAAAGAAAGTGTACCAGTAAGCACTACATTTATCTTCTGTCCTTTCATTTGTGCACCTAAAAATCTTCTGCAGACTTTTTAAAGAACATCTGTCATATAACCATGTCAATAAAGCCAGAGAAGTGTACAGGTCACAGCAGGGTCTAATATGCTAGTGTTACTTCATATTCCTAAATTAGAAAAACTCTGTAGCCTTCAAATTTTATCTCTGATATACAAGGATTTTAGTAAAGTAATTCACTGTAGCTCTTATAAACTCTATTTAATAACTTAGAAATATTAACAAGATATTTAATAAATTACCGACAAGCAGTTTGAGTTTGAAAAGCTGTAAGATGCAAGGAAACAATGACAGCTGTAGAAGTTAAAATGATGAAATGTGTATGTCAGTAATTTTAGAGTTAGCTTTCATTCTCAGATGTAGCTTTTTTTTTTTGTTTTCAAATTATTCCTTTGTGCACTGAATTACACAAAGTGTCAGAAAAAATATTCAGAAAAATATTCATCTCCAAATTCTCACAAAGGACATCATAGGTAAAAGCATTTGCCTCAAATGAAAACTCAATCTGGCATGAAAATTGCTTATCACTTGATTCACAAGTACTGTGCAACTTCAGTTTTGCACGTTTCAGATACCTGAATAGGGAAAACATCCTTCTAAAATAAGGAAAATAAATTTATTTAATATGCAGGACTCACCAGATGGATTACAGATGAAATGAGCCAATTTTGAAGTAAAGCTTGTTGATTTTGCCCTTGCATTAAAAGCACATCACTCACATTTTTCACAATGCACGCTGAAATGGAGCAAGCATGCAAATGACCGGGAAGAGGAAAAAAACGCAGTTGTAAATTTATGTTGTGGATTGCTTTATTTCAAAATATTTTATCTGCTTTTTGTTCGAGTTTTCTCCCTCTACCATTCAACAGTGCTTTGTCTGCTTTTGTTAGCAGATCATCTTGCAAACTGCTATCACGGGAGTACTTAAATTGTTCCGGAGAAATAATGAGAGCTCTTCATCATCTAAAGCAACGACAGAGAACCTAAATCCGATGTTATGTCATCTCAAGACCCATCTCCAGAAAACCCACGACAGGGAACTCTCTCAGGAGATTTCCCTCATGTAAAATATTTTCATGTACCTTTTCCATTGGTGATTATGATTTACAAGACATCATTATGTCTGACTACAGCAATGGGGAGTGCTTGCAGCTCACAGTATCCCCTGTCCTCACTCCTCAGCACCCCCAAGCTCCTTTCACCCATCCCTGCAGCCTCTTGTACCCTTCTCCTGGCTGACAGAAGCACCACCAACAGCAGAGCTACAGGTGAGTTTTCCAAGTTATTCTGTCAGCCATCAAATAAAAGTTCAAAGCAGCCTTTGGTGTGTGGCATTGATCTGTTCCTGATCATCGGGACACACGGGAGAGAAAATATGTTTGCATGTCTAAGGAAACAGCTGATTGCCAGAATCTGAGACACACACTCCAAAGTATGCCTCATGCTAAAAAGGAATGCCTTGGATTCAGCAGAGACAATGGCAGAGATAGCTCCAGTATTAAATCTTAAAGGCCAGGATAAGGCCCGCTTTTTTCCCCCTGGCATTAACATTTTTCGATTTTTAAATGATAGCTGGCAAAGCTTCAAAGTACTGCACCTCGTTACAGATGAATATTTTAACACTTTAAGCTGATATATTTTGAGTTTTCAGGAAAATAATCCAATTTGCCAAGTTTCATGGATAAATTTACAACTGCGAATGGATTTTCTTTACCAGGGTGACTATCTGACAAAATTAGAAGCTACACATCACCCACCAACCTGCCCATGGTTTTGCTCCTCCAGTCAGTGTAATAACATTTTTTCCTGAAAGAACAGCAAAAATCAGCTGAGATTAATCAAGTAGGATACAGTTGAAAAGGGCATATACATTAAAGAAGAATGTTGGACATTCTAAAACATGCATTTTCATAGACAGAAAGGTGAAATCACTTTAAAAGTGCAACTGTAATTAAATCATTAAAATGAGGTAGTTTCACTTTTTTTAAGTTTTACATTCATTCCTGAGTCAAAATTACATTTTAGATTTGTAGCTAATAACAATAACGATAGCTAATAAATAACTCAACAGTTCTTTTCCCTCCACCCTTCACTGCCCATAGACACTTAGAGAAACAGGACCAGGAATTCCCAGTCAAGCCTTCTGAGAACAGTTATTCTGAAACCAAATAGAGATGTATTTGCTGCAGTATAATATTTTGCACACCTAGTTTCAGGTTTTCAGGCTTTTTTCTGGTCTCCTCCTATCGTTTCATGTCACATTTCAACCACACAAAGGCCTCGATCTTGCAGATTCCTCAGGATTTAACAAGATCTGCCAACTGCCCGTCCGGGCAGTATTTGAGATTGAATAAAGTACATTACTTACCTTGAAGAAACACTGAAATTAATACATTAAAAAGAGTGATGGAAAATATGTGGCCACTGCAAAATTGTTTATCCACCAATCTGCAAGCTGCTGGCAGCCTGACAGTACCACTAGGCAGAATTGCAAATGAAGCAATGATTAAAGGATTTTCAGACATTTTTTAACAAAACCCTCCCTTAATTCCCTTAGCTGTTTCGCACAGATGGAGTCCAGCTAAGTTACAGATACAAATAATATATTCATTACACATAATAATAATGTTTCATGATTTATTTGTAGACATAAATAAAATTAAACTTTCGCCTGAGTTCTGGAAATACATAATAGTTTCATTTCTACTGACAGACCATATACTTAACAAAAATATCCAGAATTTTTTTAAAAAGTTATAATTCAGTCATTACCTCACCTTGGAGCTTACAAAAATCCTGTTTGAAACCATATACATATACTTCGAAATAAAGCAGCATTGCAAAAGTCAGCCTTACATACAATAGAACAGTGATTACCACTGTCTTTTGAAATGTTAGAAAAATTTCCTTTTGCAATTGAAACACTGAGATATAACACTGAGATATAATCTATCTATATTATATATATCTGATGGATCCTATAAATCTGCCAACACATTTTTGTATAATGCCATGCTAAAAGAGTTCTGGGATGCTGGGTAGTCCCTTGAGCCAGAATAAAAGCATTTTTACTTTCCAGCAACAGAGAGAAATAACCCATGTAATAATAATTCTGTTGATTGTGTTTAGATTCCTGGATTGAGCAAAATGAACCTAAAAAGTATGAATTTAATTCTTCATGTGTTATTGATGTATGATACCGATACATGGTGTATTTTAGTGACCATAACCAAAAGCCAAAGTTTTGCATGACTGTGCAAGAGAACAAGGGTGTACAGCATTAAAGTACTGCAGGGAAGGTTACCTTTCTTTTCAACTGTACACTAAAACTGGACAGTCAGAAACCACTGATAAAACAAATAAAGGCTAAGAAAAATAATCTGGTTTTTACACTCACAGGATATCTCAAGTAGGAAGGGACTCACACAGATCATCAAGTCCAACTCCCTTCTCCTCTCAGGCCTACTTAAATCCATCTAAGGGTGACCTGAAACCTTTTGGGAGGAAGCTACTCTAGTTCACTGTAATTGTGTGAGAGAATTGTATGATTTGAGGTTCCTCTGCCCACCTCAGAAAAACAATATAGGCCATCCAGTTAGGAAAGGTTTGCTTTAAACAAGCAAGCTCAAGACTTAAAAAACAGTGGTTCTGACAGAACACGTGACGAAATTACAAAACGCGTGTTTACGTCATGTTGTTGCGGGAGTCTAGATTGTTATTTCTGCATCCATGAAAAGCCATCAGGAGCAAATATAAGGATGAAGACATGAATGACATGAACTCTGCCTCCTCAGCAAGTCTCTACACCACAAACTCTAAGCCTCTAAACCACAAACTTTACAGAAGTAAAGAGAGAAGGCATCGTGGAACACTGCTCATCTCCTGCAGGGGACACTTCAGACAGGCTGCTGGCCTGTTTTAGATTGCAATTTCATTTAAATTCCTATTAAAATCTTTTTAAAGAGAAAAGCAGACTTGACCAAATTACTTTTTCTCACAGTTCTATTACAGAGGTAGAGGTGGAAAAGTTTCTTACCAAATAAATTTATTTCATATACTACAGCAAAACTCCCAACATGGCGAAAATAAAAAGTTCAGCTTTTGGTGTACTGAACTGAATGGGATAAAAAGAAGCTAAAGCTCAGGAAAAAGAAACATGGAGCAGACACTTCAGGGAAATAATAAAGAGAATATATTTACATGTCAGTTAATAATTTAACAAACAAATATAGCCTAGAATGCCTTGCAAATAAAGTAGCATTGCAAAAGTCAGCCTTTTTTTTTCCTGAAGAGTACTACTGATCTGTGAAGTAACTAAAACTATGAAGAAATCAAACCATTGCTAAAACTCAACGTAATTTTGTGATTTCATGTATGGAAAGTAAGAAGGAATTATTTTTTTAATTGGAATTTAGATTATTTATGTGTGCGTACACACAAACGTAAAGACTTCTATATTTAAAATATTGACAAGTATTACTCAAATTAGAGAAGCTCAAACAGCACTATAATGATATTCTTAACCATATGGAAGATGACTGTTACAGAAAACATTTCTGTTATGGAAAAGCCTTTGAAGGCTTAATGGGATGATGTGGAAACTCATTACAGAAGTGGGTATATGAAGCAGGTTTTGAGCAAAGGATGCTTCACAATGACTGTTTCTGGCTTAGGACCAATGCAAGAGAGCCACACTGCCACAGCATGAAACACTGAGCAGTTGGCAGTTTGAGTGAGAAAGGAGTGCCGTTAGGGTATTTTCCATGAGTCACACAATTTTGGAATCTAGTTACCACTTTAACTCCTTAGGAGGTTTACAGCACACTATGTGCTCTTCTGTCTCTCTAAGAACATTATTATTCAATTTGAAAAGGCACGTTTTCTCCTTTAAAAGTTTCTGTATTATTGCAGGAGATTTTAACCCGGTCCTACAAACCAATAACAAATACTTATTGCAAAAACATATGACAGAACTTGTTTAGCACACAGACAAGGAACTCAGTTCAGTTCATTATTCTGCCTAAGGAAAGCTACTGGACCTCATTTTACTCAAATTGTGATAATACGTGTTATACTGGAGACATTTTTGTGTCATTCTGCTTGCCTTTGGGGAAGGCTTCAGAAAAACCCTAAAATCATGGAGAATTACTTGAGCTCAGAGGGAGAATATCTGCCAAGGACATCCAAAACAATGTGTGAACTACCAACAGTGTTTTCTAAAGACATATGCTCAATTTGACTTAGAGGGTAAGTTTGAAAACAAGCACCCCAGAGTACTGTGCAAAAATGTGGCAAGAGCAGCGCTATTTGTTCCTCCTCTCTTCTCTTCCTAATCATATCACTAAATCAAATATGAGTGTGGCTGGCTACAGAGCTGTAAAGACTGCATTTTAGCCTTAAGTAAATAATGAACTTTTAATATTAAGCACTAAATTATAGATTTCTTAAAACAGTTTCCACAATACCTGAAAGGCATCCTGATGTTCATTCTTTCTGCGTATTTGCACAACGTCTCCCACGGACAGTGAACTTTAACAAACATGATATCACTGTTTGTAACAGCTGGCTGTAAAGAGAAGTAACAAACAAAGGCACATTAATAATTTAAACTTTTATGGCAACTACCTTCCTAGAAGCATTCTTCAGGGTCAAATTCTGATTTTAGGTCTGAAGTTGGCATGCAAGTCTGAAAGCACAGTAAGTGCTCTCAGACAAAGGAAAATGAGTAAATTTTCCCCTCACAAACTCCATAATATGCACAGACTAGTATGACAAAAGGACTCTGTTGGAAAGATCTTTGCTCATGAGCACAAGTAAAATAGAGAAAGACTTCATGCACCACTTTTTTACATGGAATAAATTACTTAATTCTAAATCTCCACAAAATCATCTTAGTTTGAGTAGTTTGAAGACCATTCTGTGTGTCTCCCATTCAAGGAGAAGAATGCTCAGTTGCTAGACAAGTAAGAACAGCTGAGAGGAGGCTCCAGGTTGCACCCTGCCAAAATGGTATCTCCAGGGAATGGTTAAATAATTGCAATACCTGCTAGGAACTTTTAAATGTGATCTCTGTAGGAATTGAGATTTTTTTTTTTTTTGGTAAAAATTATAAGGTATACTCTAAATGTTTTTCATCACCAATTTATTTGTATATAAAACAAGAGTTCAGCCTTGCAGGTCTCTATATTCGTCTTCTCTTATGAAGACTGCAGTTCCACATCCTTCTCCCAGATGTATTTGCTTGAGATTTTATAAGTAGATATTTTGATATTTGAGTTGAGTCTGTTTAAAGCCTCCAAAAACTGGAGTTTGCAAGTTTTGGTAAGCAAAGGTAAAAGAAAATGTAGTTAAAGGGTTAATAACACTTAAAATGTTCACAGTTCTACCTACCAGTTCCATAAAGTCACATCATAGCTCAATAGTACCACCTCGAGGATTTTACTTTTCTCAAAAGATGTGGAAAAAAAACTACTAGTGGAAGACAATTTAAAACCTTTGATAAGTAGAATGATGATCTCATAATTGACAACGGCTGAGATTTTACTATTTATTGAAATTGGAACAAAACTAGATATTTTTACTACCAGACTGTAACAATTCTTAAAAGTCTTAAAACCGAATTTTAGTCAGGTAGGTTATTTATTAATATTTATATGCTACATTGTGAGCTATAACTTGCAAGCTCATTGCTTAAACGTAGGACATTCTACTGAGTTGAAAAGAATAAATCAGGATGAGATATACACGAAGCGTGGGATCTTACTTCAGGATAAACTAAACACACACCTGTTTTGTAGGTGATTCATGAAACAGCAAAAATACAAGGTTGTTTTCCTGACTCTGTTCTCCTTTTTTTTATATTAATACTTCTATTACTAGCCATGGATTAACTAGATAGTGACAACCTTAATCCTTTGAAAAACAGTGAGATATTTAGCATCATGCATTCTGCCGAAAGACAGAAAGGTTACATATTAAAGCAGTAACACAGGTTACTGAAGCTTCTGTTCTGCAAGCATTAGTAGTTGGAATTTTTCTCTCTGTACTGCACCACACCTCTGTGCTCAACCACATACCCCCAAATCATTTTAAACACACGCTATCAAACAATTTTTCTTACTAATTTAATACGATTAAACAGGTGGTGGGGACAGCCTGATTGGAAAGGCTTGTAAGATTGTCAGGAATCTTTCATCAGCTCAGTAAAGTTTTTATGCCGCATAAAGACTCACCTCCCGTTCTAACATCAGCCCTTCTGCTCTCAAATTCTTCTCAAATGTGCTTCTTTTTTCTACCTGTGGACTTGATTTCTTGTAGACCAGGATGTAATCAATGCGCTTTTTGCCATCTTTGAAGAATAGTCCTGATGATGCCATGGCATCACTCTAAAGAATATATAATAAAAGTACATTGAATATGGCATCTGAAAAGATGAAGGGTCCTATCATGAACAGCATATAACACAGCATTTCCTAAACCACAGAAATGTCCACATAATGGCAGGATGAATATGTAAAAAAGCCGTAAGAATAAAATGTCAATATGCATCAGTTGCTCAGGATTTCCAATAAATTAGAACAAAACAAAACAGCTTCACAAAACCCATATTCCAGTTATTTCTTTCAGCTGTGAAAAAGCCTTAAAATTATTGTGTGAGGTGTATTGATATGAACTTCTGCTGATTCTTATTTTCAAGGGGAATTAAAAAAGAAAATTAAAGTAAAGTAAATTAAAGCAATTTTCTCTCTGTTTTGTACCTGGGCAAATTGTATAGAACAAACATACTTGTATTTTCTCCAAGAGAGAAATAAATCTAAAAAAATTAAAAAAGAAATGGTATTGATTGGAATGTTTTCATGGATATTCTAGCCCAAGTGCTCTTTTAATGCCATGTTAGCAATGTTTAAATCTTGACTAGTTGCTTCCCACCATGCTTCCAAACACAAGGGATTGTCTGACCTTGATATGGAAAACCCTGATTTACATGTTGCTGCTAATGCAAGCTATTTTTGTATTCTGTGCTTTGCATGATTCAGAACAGACAGAGACTATATCGGCTGGTGTCAGACTATAGAATCATAAAATCATTAGACTGGAAAGAACCTCCAAGACCATGGGACCTCTGACCAAACACCACCATAATGGCTAAACTAAATGCCATGTCCAGTAACTGCCTGAACACTTCCAGGGATGGTGGCTCCAACACCTCCCTGGGCAGCCCTCTCCAAAGCTTAACCACACTCTCAGTGAAAAAGTTCTTCCTGATACCCAACCTGGACCCCTCCTGGTGCAGCTTGAGGCCATTTCCTCTTGTTCTGTCACTAGTTGTCTGGGAGAAGAGGCTGACCCCCCTCCTACCACGACCTCCTTTCAAGCAGTTGTAGAGAGTAATAAGGACTCTCCTGAACCTCCTCTTCTGACTAAACACCCCCAGCTCCCTCAGCTGCTCCTCATATGACTTAATCTCTAGACCCCTTACCGGCTTTGTTGCCCTTCTCTGGACCCACTCCAGCCCCTCAATGTCTGTGTTGAAATGAGGGGCCCAGAACTGGACACAGCAATTAATGTGTGGCCCTGCCACTGCCAAGCACAGAGGGATAATCATAGCCCTGCTGGCCACACTACTCCTGACACGGGCCAGAATGTCACTGGCCTTCTTGGCCACCTGGGCACACTGCTGGCTCATGTTCAGCCAACTATTGACCAGCACCCCCAGGTGCTGAAGACTTTGAAATCTGAAAAGGTAAACTGAGAAACTATCATCATCTCCTGGAGAAGTAGCACTCATTTAAACACAAACTGTCCAAAACAATCATGTTGGTTTCAAGTAGGATACATTACACCAATGTATATATGGGACCAGACATCTGTGAATGCTGCATCTTTTAAACAATGGGTCTCAGAAATGAATGATATTTGGATTATTTGGATACGAAATTTATAATACTCAGTGTTATATTCAATAGCTACACTCTCTATTGATACTGATAAACAGAACCATGTGTTAGTGCATGATATCAGCAGCATAAATACTGGATACCAGCTCACTTGTTTCTATGTGAAACATTTGTCTTACACCCACATCCCTCGCTGCCGGCTTTTTATATATTTAGTGCTTCTGAGAACTCCTCTGTCTGCAAAACCTAAAGCGTTCTAACAAGATTCTTCCTCTTTCTTCGCTTTTTTAAGTCCCAAAATAAAAACCAACAGTCTTTCTCAGACCACCTACTATTACAAAGGAGTGCATCATCATATGCCTGGGAACATTATTTAAGTATATTAAGCTTTAGCTGATGATCCTTTAAGATCATGGAGTCCAATGCACTGCCAAGTCCACCACTAAACCAAGTCCTGAAGTGCCATATCTACACATCTCTTAAGGATCTCCAGGGATGGTGACTCCCCCCTCTTCCCTGGGCAGCCTGTTCCAGTGCTTGACAACCCCCCTCAGTGAAGAAATTTTTCCTAATATCCAACCTAAACATCCCCTGGTGTAACTTGAGGACAATTCATCTTGTCCTGTCAATTGGTACTTGGGAGAAGAGGTTGACCCCCATGTGGCAACAACCTCCTTTCACACAGTTGTAAAAAGCAGTAACATTCCCCCTGAGCCTCCTTTTCTCCAAACTCAACAACTCCAGCTTCCTCAGCCACTCCTCATAAGACTTGTGCTCTCAATCCCTCTTTGCACACACTCCAGCACCTCAATATCTTCCTTGATATTTAGATAAATAGTATCTGAAGTCCAATTTAAGGCAGTAAAGAGTGTCAAACTAGACTGATAGCACACTGAACACAGGGCCTGTCACCCCTTCTAAGAATTCTGAATGGGGATAGTAGTAAAAGCTTTTTATGTCGTAGGTGTAATGATCTGAAGATGTAAGATGCAGAGGTTTGAAGGTGAGCTAGTAGATTAAAGGTTCACAACCACAAATTTGAATATGGACGTTTTTAAAATCCAAGCTTTTTTCAGGTTCAAGACATAAGCAATGAATCTGCTCTTCAACAGTGAAAGATACCTGCAAAAGTATTTTACAAAATCAGACCAGAGCTGTTTTTATTATGGTTCATGGAGCAGGCAAAATCAAATACAAAGAGCCTAGCCCAAATTCCCCCAAGGGGGAGATCTGGAACTTCTCTTACACATTTTCTGCTCATGCAATTTCTGCACAGACATTCTGCAAATTACATCTATCTTTTTGTAATTCACTTTCACTTTTCTTTGGATTATTATTTCTAGCCTTTCTTTCCTTGTTTCTGAAACAGGTGCTTTTCTTCAGTCTTAGAGAGACATTTTATTTCTCAGATTATGACAGTATCCAAATATGACCTCGGATTCATCCGCACCAAACAGAATTATTTGGGGGCAATGTTCAAGAAACAATGATCAGTCATTACAGTAGAAAGAAATTTTCCATCTGTTTTTCCCAGACCACTTTCAGAGCACTACCCCCACGGGTTGAGAAGTGCAATAGTGAAGCCACTTTGCACATTGGTGCAGTGAACCTGACCTATACTATATTGATTTCAGGACTGATTCACTTGAATGCTACTGGCACCATTCGTTTCCCTTTAGTGCAGTTCTCAAGCAATGTTGCCTACATACAATGCAGAAATACATGTGCCAGTAAAAAAATTTATCTGGTGATTTAGTCGGAGTTTTTTTCAGTTCATCTGAAGGAGTTCCATAATGTGTAAGAAGAACAGGGAGCAGAAATCTCAATTAAACACACGAGTCAGGGTATATTGGCCATTATCTATACCTAGCACAGTGAATGAGCTGTTAGTACAGTAGGCATTCAGGCACAGCTTGTTTATTGTTTATCTGCTGGCTTGGACCAATAAATCTCTGATTCATTCTTTCACCTTTTTCCTGACAGAAAAGGATCAGAAAAGGAGAAAAGCATGGGAAGAAACATTTTGTGCAAAGCCCTTACTCTCCTCCATGCTAAGATTTCCTGTTTCACCTGAAAAATATGTATAAAAAGGACTAATCAACATTCTCTAATCTCTTCATCCTCTCTACCTTCTCAGTCCTCTAGATTTTCTGAAACCTGATCGGTTTTCTTACACACATATGAAAACTTATTTGATATAAAAAACTCATTTTAGAGTATTGCAATATAGTTCAGATTTCAACAATTTAACTTAACCTTGTCCTTTCAAAGTCTTTAAATACAAGAACTTCAAATGTGAGGCTGTGAAGTGGCACTTCACTCAACATTAAGCTTGCTCATAATGCACACACTGGTTTGCATCAGATTTAACTATTACCTGAGGCTTTGCCACTACAGATCTGCTGCAGTTCCTTGGTTTTCTTTACCATTTGTCAACATTTTTGGTCGCTTTATAGATGGTGATCATTATAACAAATAACATGACACACTGCTTTGAAGTCTGAAAGTGTAAAATTCAAAATACTAACATTATCATTCAACTGAAGTTTACACTTTACATAAGGCAAAATACATTGATCCATTTAACCTAGAAAAAGGAGTTTTGGCTCAAGCAAAAAAAAAAAAAAGGTGGAAAACCAATGCAAATGTTTAGCAAAGTTATAAAATAATCTATTCAAATGTACAAGATGAATTTCCTTGGATTTAGCCAACATGGAGGGATTTTTAAATAAACTTTTGTTCATATTCTAATTAATGAGCAATGCCCTTTTCACAGAGAGGGAACAGCTGGTTTACTGGCTCTATCTCTCCCCAATTAATTTAAATAGAACAACTCACAGAAACTGTAACTATTTCAACTTCATTTATTTCACTCTAGTGTTCTGCTCTGTAAATTAAACTTTTCCCATTTTTTCACCCCATGCATAGAAACAAATATTCTAGAAGAGTTAGAACCACTCTGAAAACAGGAGCAAATTTTAGATTTATGTAACAGTATGTTATGTAACAGTAAACGACTGTATCATGATACAGCAGTATGTTTTCTTTGTTTTCCACCTTATACTGGTGAAAAGTTTAAAATAATGAATAACATGCAGTACCTAAGTAAATTCAGAGGTTAAATGGAGCCACACGAAGGTACAACACACATGTTGCAACCATTCATTTGACATTCACTCCACCACTGACAGCTCCCAACAGGACTAACCTAACAGCAAGGGCTTAAAGGCTGACAAAACCTCTATAGGCACTTATTTTTATAAATTTTAAGCAAATTCCCATTCACGTGACCAGGTATTTGCAGCTTGAAAGCTGTGGGACAGCTAAATGTCAAGTACATTCAAACCACTATGAAAGGTTCTCCCTAATTTGGTTACACACCAAAGCTACAGCAAGAAACCTCCCTAGGAGAGAGCATGTCCCAGGAAACAGGTGGTATTTCCTTCTACCACCTTCCCAGTGTTCAGCCAAAGTCAGCTCAGGTTTCT